CCTCCCTTTCGCTCTCCGTCTGCCCCCAGTGGCTCCCTCCCTGCCCCACCGCGCCCCTCACCGGCCGTGCCGCGGTAGCTGCCCAGGTGCAGGCGGTAATGCTCGCTGGGGGGGTCCACCCGGAACCGCTGGTACTGGGCGAACACGGCCTCCGCGCCGGCCCGGAGATCCACCCGCAGCTCCTGCTCCCCCGCCGCCGTCAGCTGGTGCAGGGCGTCGTTACCTGGGGGCAGGACGCCTGGGTTCTCTCCACGCTCCGCCACGGGGCAGCCCGGACTCCTGGGTTCTTTCCCAGTTCGGGGAGTGGGGGCTAGTGGTTAGAGGGGGGCTGGGAGCCAGGACTCCTGGGTTCTCTCCCCAGCTCTGGGAGGGGAGTGGGGGCTGGTGGGTCAGAGCAGGGGGGCTGGGAGCCAGGACTCCTGGGTTCTCTCCCCAGCTCTGGGAGGGGGCTGGTGGGTTAGAGCAGGGGGCGGGGCTGGGAGCCAGGACTCTTGGCTTCTCTCCCTGGCTCTGCAGGGGGAGGGGGTCTGGGGATGGCAGGGCCGCGCAGGACTCCTGGGTTCTCTCACTCACCCAGCCAGAACTCCTGGGACCGGTTCCCGAAGCCCTGGGCGTAGTCCTGCCAGTCGCGCCAGAAATCCGTCTTGCCGTTCATGCGACGCTGGAACACCTGGGGGAGTTGGGGGGAGGGTCAGAGACAGACCCTCGGCCCCGCTGCCCCCCCGTACCCCGCTGCCCCCTGGGGCAGGTTCCCCCCCCGCCCTGCCAGGCCGCGCTGCCCCAGCCCCGCACTCACCAGCCAGCCGCCCCCGTCGGTCTCCATGTCGCAGTACACCTGCAGGGGGCGCTGCCTGTCGCCCCCCAGGTAGATGGTCACCTCGCGGGAGGGGCCCGGCCCGTTCAGCTGCTCCTCCACGCAGTCCCGGGGGAAGGGGTAGGTCAGCCAGACTGCCAGGAGAGGAGAGGAGGGGATGGAACCCAGGAGTCCGGGATCCCAGCCCCACCCCCTCCAACCACGAGCCCCCACTCCCCTCCCCGAGCCAGGAGAGAACCCAGGAGTCCTGGCTC